GCTCGGAGATTCATCCATCTCTGCTAGGAGATTCATCCATCTCTGCTCGGGCATTCGTCTATCTCTGCTCGGACATTCGTCCATCTCTGCTCGGACATTCGTCCATCTCTGCTCGGAGATTCGTCCATCTCTGCTCGGAGATTCGTCCATCTCTGCTCGGAGATTCATCCATCTCTGCTCGGAGATTCATCCATCTCTGCTCGGAGATTCATCCATCTCTGCTCGGAGATTCGTCCATCTCTGCTCGGAGATTCGTCCATCTCTGCTCGGAGATTCATCCATCTCTGCTCGGAGATTCAACCATCTCTGCTCGGAGATTCATCAATCTCTGCTCGGACATTCGTCCATCTCTGCTCGGAGATTCATCCATCTCTGCTCGGAGATTCGTCCATCTCTGCTCGGACATTCGTCCATCTCTGCTCGGAGATTCGTTCATCTCTGCTTGGAGATTCGTTTATCTCTGCTCGGACATTCGTCCATCTCTGCTCGGAGATTCATCCATCTCTGCTCGGAGATTCGTCCATCTCTGCTCGGACATTCGTCCATCTCTGCTCGGAGATTCGTTCATCTCTGCTTGGAGATTCGTTTATCTCTGCTCGGAGATTAAATCTTGTCCCGAGTATATTAAATTTCTTTTTTTTCCTATTTACGTGCTTAAACTGATGGCAGCTCATCGGTAGAGCTATTATGCTTTGTGGGCTACATACTTTGTGGGCTACATACTTTGTGGGCTACATACTTTGTGGGGTACATACTTTGTGGGCTACATACTTTGTGGGGTACATACTTTGTGGGCTACATACTTTGTGGGGTACATACTTTGTGGGGTACATACTTTGTGGGCTACATACTTTGTGGGGTACATACTTTGTGGGTACATACTTTGTGGGGTACATACTTTGTGGGCTACATACTTTGTGGGGTACATACTTTGTGGGGTACATACTTTGTGGGCTACATACTTTGTGGGCTACATACTTTGTGGGGTACATACTTTGTGGGGTACATACTTTGTGGGGTACATACTTTGTAGGGTACATACTTTGTGGGCTACATACTTTGTGGGGTACATACTTTGTGGGTACATACTTTGTGGGGCTACATACTTTGTGGGGTACATACTTTGTGGGGTACATACTTTGTGGGCTACATACTCTGTGGGCTACATACTCTGTGGGCTACATACTCTGTGGGCTACATACTTTGTGGGGTACATACTTTGTGGGGTACATACTTTGTGGGGTACATACTTTGTGGGCTACATACTTTGTGGGGTACATACTTTGTGGGGTACATACTTTGTGGGGTACATACTTTGTGGGCTACATACTTTGTGGGGTACATACTTTTGTGGGTACATACTTTGTGGGCTACATACTTTGTGGGCTACATACTTTGTGGGGTACATACTTTGTGGGGTACATACTTTGTGGGGTACATACTTTGTGGGTACATACTTTGTGGGCTACATACTTTGTGGGTACATACTTTGTGGGGTACATACTTTGTGGGCTACATACTTTGTGGGGTACATACTTTGTGGGGTACATACTTTGTGGGGTACATACTTTGTGGGGTACATACTTTGTGGGGTACATACTTTGTGGGCTACATACTTTGTGGGGTACATACTTTGTGGGGTATATACTTTGTGGGGTACATACTTGTGGGTACATACTTTGTGGGCTACATACTTTGTGGGGTACATACTTTGTGGGCTACATACTTTGTGGGGTACATACTTTGTGGGGTACATACTTTGTGGGGTACATACTTTGTGGGCTACATACTTTGTGGGGTACATACTTTGTGGGTACATACTTTGTGGGTACATACTTTGTGGGCTACATACTTTGTGGGCTACATACTTTGTGGGCTACATACTTTTGTGGGCTACATACTTTGTGGGCTACATACTTTGTGGGACTATTGGGCTACATACTTTGTGGGGTACATACTTTGTGGGTACATACTTTGTGGGGTACATACTTTGTGGGTACATACTTTGTGGGGTACATACTTTGTGGGGTACATACTTTGTGGGGTACATACTTTGTGGGCTACATACTTTGTGGGCTACATACTTTGTGGGCTACATACTTTGTGGGCTACATACTTTGTGGGCTACATACTTTGTGGGCTACATACTTTGTGGGCTACATACTTTGTGGGGTACATACTTTGTGGCTACATACTTTGTGGGCTACTGCTTTGTGGCACTAACTATTTGGTACATACTTTGTTGGTACACTACTTGTGGGCTAAAATACTTTGAGGGTACATACTTTGGCACATACGTTGTGGTGCTACATACATTGTGGGTACATACTTGGGGGTACATACTTTGTGGGCGCATACTTTGGGGCACATACTTTGGGGGTACATACTTTGTGGCACATACTTTGGGCTTTCATACTTTGTGGGTGTACATACTTGTGGGTACAAACTTTGTGGCTACATACTTTTTGGCTACTACCCTTTGTGGGCTACATTACTTTGTGGGCTACATACCTTGTGGGTACACTTGTGGGCTCATACTTTGTGGGCTACATACTTTGTGGCTACAACTTTTGGGTCTACTTGTGGGTACATACTTTAGAAAACTGAACCTCTTTTTTCCCATGAACTAAAGTATACTTCTCGATTTACGTAAACACTCTTGCTTAGTTTTCCAGTAACATATCACATGTTGGTTACAACAGCAGTCAGTAAATACCCGGTTGCTACCGCCTTTGTGGTCGCATTCTGGGGCCAAGTGTAACTTAGTTTGCTCGAAATCTCTGCAAATAAGGGCCTTTCTTTAAAGTGTCATGGACTATGTAAAATCCATCATCTCAACCTTTCTCCTCCTTTTCCTCTTCCTTTCCTCTTCCTCCTCTTCCTTTTCCTCCATCCTCTTTCTTTTCCTCCTCATCCTCTTCTTTTCTTATATTATCATTATTATTAAACATTATGACTTCTTTTCCGGGTCACGTGCCTTGTTTTCAAACTGTTCTCAAATGTTTACGGGACATGAGAACACAGCTGGTGAAAGCTGTTTGCTTATAGCACACTGTTCATTATATTGCTTTCCCGTAGATATTGTGTGTAATTAGCTTTTTTTAACTGTCTTTCGCAACTGGTGTTCCACCCTTCAAACACTTTCACGGATGCAGAACTTACCAGTTCCAATTCATCTTTTAATGCAGCTATTTTCAACCACTCGTGAGAAAAAAACTATTCTTTATTTAATTTTTTTTCTACGTTTTGAGACTTGTTCTCTCGTTACAGTATTTAAAAGTCTTACCAACCAGGGCGGGATTTGAGCCGCGGTATTTTGGTTGCAATCTTGTCATTAACATTTCGTGATCATTAAAGAGTCTTCATTGCTTTCTCTATCATTCACTGCAAGAACTTTGAGGGTATATGTCTTCTTGTTTCCTAACAGCTAACATGGGCATTTTTAAAGATTTTATCTTTAACTATTCGTCATAATGCTCAAAACTCTTGCACCATTTTCAGGGGGGCACCAGGATGGTTGTCCAATATTGGAATTTCGAGGAGTCATTAAAAACTTCTTTGTTTTCACAGGTTGAGTTGTTGGAGGGTTCGGACAGTAGAGATGGATGTATAAAGTTTTACTTAATTTTGAATATGAAGTGTGAATTTTAGGTGTGGGAATCGGGTAGGGGAAATGTCTAGGAAATTAGGAGGAGGTGCAGCGTTACCAAAGCTATTAAACAAAGGTTAGGGGTTAATTGTGTGGATGGATGTAGAAGGTTAAACATGAATGAATAGGGTGTAAATCTGTGGGTGGACGGGAGGTCTGGAGTGGGAGTACAGTGAATGCTTGGAGGGAGGGGTGTTAGCGTTGAAAGGTTTAAAAACTGGTGTTAAGGATTTACTTGCTAGGAGGTGAGCAAGTGAATAATTTAGAAAGTTTGGTTCGGCGGCAGCCCTTTGCCCTTGGAGGGGAATCTGGCCTCTGTGTTAATTTGAGATTAAAAAAACTGATACAAAGTGTAACATTCCTACAGGACACTTATAGTGAATATTGAGAAGTTATTGTTTAGCTTGGGGGACAGTTTGTTAAATATTTGGTATTAACAGAATCTTCTAACATTACAAATAATTACACCTTCCCTACTATATTTAGTTATTATTATATTTGGCCAGTTTTACTATATTTTCTGTGACTCAGTTTCATTAACATTATAGTTACCGGTAACATTTATATATAGAATCAGATTCCTCCTGTATACTCATTTATTCAATATTGTCCATTATATTATTTTCATTGACTTCATATTTATCAAATTAGACAGGAATACCTATTCTATGCAGATTATTCACTGAACCACCCGACTCCAGTTTTCAAATATTACCATATATTTCATCCTGTCTAGAAATTTCTAATTAAGTATGGGTAAATGAAAGCCCTGTGTGGCACCACGAACATTTCCTCTAAAGATTCTCGTCTACACTTTCTAAATTTTCATTAGCAATTCTCATCAATAATTAGTAAATTTGTGTGGTAAGACAAATGCCTTGTTGGACCCCATTTCGAACGTTTCCCTACAACATAGCAACGTTCAAACAAACTTTGCCTAGTTCTTACCAAAACGTCGGTCTTTTATCCTATTTTAATTTCAGCTCTAATTCCTCCTATATTTTGCCGTTTCAAGGTTAATCTATCCTTGGGAATTCAAAAGCTTTCTTAAAGTCTGGGTAAATACAGTCTGCCTATAGATTCCTCTTCAAGAAATTTGATATACGTACATGAATTTGCAGACGAAAGCTAATTTATTTGGTTTATGTATTATTCTAGTAATATGCTGGGAACTATAGTTATCCCTTTATTGTTCTCCTCGAATGAGGTCTGCAGCCTCTGTTCCACAAGCCAGGTTAAGTTTCTGGTGTTCTTGTCCCATTTTTTTTTTGGTAAGAGTGGAGGGAATGATATAGTGTAAGTTTGTACTATACTATGCACAACTTGGGTTTTCCCTTTCATATGACTGTAGATGGACCTGAGCGTGTGGAGGTGCGAGGTCTAGATGGTCCGGTCTCAGCAGGACGCCAGTATCAAGTGGTCTGCGAGGCCAAGGGAAGCAGACCCCCGGCAACACTTACGTGGTGGCTCAACGGACATATGAAAAAGGGGGTGTCCCAAATGGTAAGTTTACTTGCTTTCTACTCTTTCCCGGGAAAGTTCCCCCGGTTTTTTTTGGGGGGGTTCTGGAATGAAATTTTAACTTGGTCTTTCTGCTGATGCATTGTGAGCTTACAAGGTGAAATTCCATGATTTGTTCGATAGATGTGTCTGCTCTTCATGTCTGGAGAACTTGTAATGATTCAAAGTAATCATATAATTTGTTATGTAACTCAAAATTCCGGGAATTCCAAATAATGGTTGAGAAAGTTAGATTCATGCACCACTTTTTCCGTTTAATTCACCTTTGATAATTATCATAACTGTATTCCATCTTCTGACTTAAATGTATATATGTTTAACTATTACATTGACAGTTGATAAAAATCCGACATTTACTGTACCATTTTCATTGGCTTTTCAATCTGAAAAATATTTATTCAACAGTCAACACTAATTAGACATTACTAAAATTAGAGAACGTTTTCAAGAACTGTGATTTACATAAATGGTTGAATTCCACTTTTGTCGAGGTCAAGAAACTTAACACGATTATTATTACCAACTTAACAATGAAAGAAAAGTCGTGATCAGAAATAAAGGTCAGAACAGCAATAAAGTGTTTGACCTTAAGAATGGTCCTGATTAACTCAACAAGAACTTTCTGCAAATATTAATACCCATTATTCTAAAAAAAATTGCAACAAATTGGTCAGGAAAACATTAACTGTGACTCTCCTCATTTTTATTTTTAGACGAAGATAGATGAAGGTATTGATTCACTTATCCTTCTCGTGTTCAGTACAGGTTCTTAGTCTTGCATTCTTGTTGAATAACTCAGCTTGCTTTCGTCTCCTTTTGAAAGCTCTTTCTCTTATGTACTATACTCCTGAAGATTTAACTGTGCAAATTCTGAACCTAGGTATGTAAAATGCAAATATGTAAAGCTTAGAAATCGAGTCATTTTTCATTATGGGTCTTGTAACAATGTCTTAGTTTTCTTAAGTCCCAATACGACCCAGTGTTCAGCGAGCCGTTACCCAGGCTGAGGGTCGACAATCCAAATGAATTCTTTACGGACGAGACCCAAAACATGGGTCTCGGATATTATCCTAACACCACAAGACTTTGATAAGGCAATAAATGACATGCCCATGCACTCTCTCCCAGGCCCAGACTCGTGGAACTCTGTGTTCATCATGAATTGCAAGAAGATACTGTCACGTGCCTTCAGCATTCTATGGAGAGGGAGCATGGACACAGGAGTCATCCCAGACTCACTAAAAACAACAGACATAGCTCCACTCCACAAAGGTGGCAGTAAATCAGTTGCAAAGAACTACAGACCGATAGCACTAACATCCCATATAAAAATCTTTGAGAGGGTTCTAAGTAGCAAGATCGCCAACCACCTAGATACCCATCAATTACACAACCCAGGGCAATACGGCTTTAGAACAGGCCGCTCCTACCTGTCCCAGCTACTGGACCACTATGATAATGTCGAAGGCAAAAGCCTTCGACAAGTGTGACCATGGTGTAATAGCACACAAAACGTGTGATAAAGGAATAACAAGAAAAGTTGGAAGCCACTGTGTGGCGAAACGTTTCCTCAATAAAGATACCCAAGTGTTGCACATGTGTCTAATTTATCAACTGGTCGGTTCTCTGAACCATTTATCTAAAATCTTACTATGCTCGTATTCCACCAACCTGAAAACCAATTTAACTTAACATCTCTGTTTCTCTTCATACAAAAGCACAGACATTATCATCATACATTCAAAATAGCTGCCAAAGCAAGTCATATGCTCAGTGTCTGTCCATTACAATACCTAACCTTCCAGGTCAGTTCGCTTACTAACCCTTTTCCAAGCCACTGTGTGATCCTTGCCAGACCTCACGTGATGTCAACGATCCATGGACGTCAAGTACCCTGGAACTGGTCGTAAGCCCTCAGGATGAAGGCAGCAAACTGGTGTGTCGGGCAGAAAATCTTGAATTGCCTGCAAAAACGATGGAGTCAACACACCAACTTCAAGTTCTATGTGAGTATTTCCTTCAAGCTTGTGCGGCTGTGGTGTTCTGTGTACGAGCTACATAGTGGGAACAAAGTATATATCAGTCATATTCAACATTGGAGATATGAAGTAATGAAATTAGCTAACTTGAGCAGGGAATTGAGTTATCAGGATGACGAGTTATCAGGATGACGAGTTATCAGGATGACGAGTTATCAGGATGACGAGTTATCAGGATGACGAGTTATCAGGATGACGAGTTATCAGGATGACGAGTTATCAGGATGACGAGTTATCAGGATGACGAAGATTTATCAGGATGACGAGTTATCAGGAAGACGAGTTATCAGGAAGACGAGTTATCAGGAAGACGAGTTATCAGGAAGACGAGTTATCAGGATGACGAGTTATCAGGATGACGAGTTATCAGGATGACGAGTTATCAGGAAGACGAGTTATCAGGATGACGAGTTATCAGGAAGACGAGTTATCAGGAAGACGTTGCGGAGATCGTCAAATATATCTCAGTAATGAAAGGGCTGCTACACTTTAAGATCTCGTTAGAGAGCTGGAACAACTATAACTTGGGAAATTCCATCTATGGATATTTTTTTTGTGTATATACAATTTTTTTTTATTTGTGTATATACAAATGTAAACATTTGTTGACATGAACTGAACACATTCTAGCAAGAAACATAACGTTTATACTTAAAACATATGTGCAGAAGTAAAGTAAAAGACAGCCACACTTGCGGTTTATTAGCATACTGGCAATTATGTACACACTAACACACACACACACACACACACACACACACACACACACACACACACACACACACACACACACACACACACACACACACACACACACACAAGTAGTGGAGGCAGGAAGTATACACAGCTTTAAGACGAGGTATGATAAAGCTCATGTAGCAGGGAGAGAGAGGACCTAGTATCAGTGCAGAGGCGGGGCCAGGACCTGAGTCTCGACCGTTGCAACCACAAATAGATGAGTACACACACTAGAGAGTATCAAGTTGGAGGACAAACGCTACAAACCTCATGGGAAGAGAAAGACCTCGGCATGAGTATAGTTTTGAGTGTATCACCTGAGGTGAATGACAATCTGTTAACTGCAGCAGTAAACGCAAGACGGGCAAATTTAAGTGTATCTTTCAGAAACCTCAAAAAAGTCATTTACGTTACTATATAAAACATTTGTGTCTATCTTGAGTACACAGCACTAATATTGAGTCCAGATCTGCTGGAGCATGTCGGAAATATCGAAAAAGTGCAAAGGTTTCCAAGAAAACTAGTTTCATAACTAAGAGGAGAAAGCTATGACCAGATGCTAAAGTCTGATGAAATTAATGGACAGAAGAACGAGAGGTGACAGATGAGTCAAAGGGATGTTAGTAAGTATTTCTTTAGTCATAGAGTTGTCAGGAAGTGGAAATTTCTTTAAAATGACGTAGTGGAGGCAGGAACCATAAATAGTTTACAGACGAGGTTTTATAATGTTCATGGGACAGAGAGAGGACCTAGCAGGGATCAGTAAAGAGGCTGGGCCAGGAGCTATGAATCGACCCCTGGAACCACAAATAGGTGAGTACACACACACAGCGGAGCACACACACACACACACAACACACACACACACACACCACACACACACACACACACACACAAATGTAGTCCCAATTTTTAAAAAGGGAGACAGACATGAGGCACTAAACTACAGACCTGTATCACTAACGTGTATAGTATGCAAGGTCATGGAGAAGATCATCAGGAGGAGAGTGGTGGGGCACCTGGAAAGAAACAAGTGTAGAATTGACAACCAGCACGGTTTCAGGGAAGGAAAATCCTGTGTCACAAACCTACTAGAGTTTTATGACAAGGTGACAGAAGTAAGACAAGAGAGAGAGGGGTGGATCGACTGCATATTTTTGGACTGCAAGAAGGCCTTCGACACAGTTCCTCACAAGAGGTTACTGCAAAAGCTAGAGGATCAGGCACACATAACAGGAAAGGCACTGAAATGGATCAGAGAATATCTGACAGGGAGGCAACAACGAGTCATGGTACGCGACGAGGTGTCAGAGTGGGCGCCTGTGACAAGCGGGGTTCCACAGGGGTCAGTCCTAGGACCTGTGCTGTTCTTGGTATATGTGAACGACATAACGGAAGGGATACTCAGAAGTGTCCTTGTTTGCAGATGATGCGAAGTTAATGAGAAGAATCAAATCGGATGAGGATCAGGCAGGACTACAAAGAGACCTGGACAGGCTACAAGCCTGGTCCAGCAACTGGCTCCTTGAATTTAACCCTGCCAAATGCAAAGTCATGAAGATTGGGAAAGGGCAAAGAAGACCACAGACACAATATAGTTTAGATGGCCCAAGACTGCAAACCTCACTCAAGGAAAAAGATCTGGGGGTGAGTATAACACCGAGCATATCTTCTGAGGCGCATATCAATCAGATAACTGCTGCAGCATACGGGCGCCTGGCAAACCTACGGATAGCGTTCCGATACCTCAGTAAGGATTCGTTTAAGACTCTGTATACCATTTACGTCAGGCCCATACTGGAGTATGCAGCACCAGTTTGGAATCCACACCTAGTCAAGCACGTCAAGAAATTAGAGAAAGTGCAAAGGTTTGCAACAAGACTAGTCCCAGAGCTACGGGGATTGTCCTACGAAGAAAGGTTGAGGGAAATCGGCCTGACGACACTGGAGGACAGGAGGGTCAGGGGAGACATGATAACGACATATAAAATACTGCGCGGAATAGATACGGTGGACAAAGACAGGTTGTTCCAGAGATTGGACACAGACACAAGAGGTCACAATTGGAAGTTGAAGACTCAGATGAATCAAAGGGATGTTAGGAAGTATTTCTTCAATCATAGAGTAGTCAGGCCGTGGAATAGCCTAGAAAGTGACGTAGTGGAGGCGGGAACCATACATAGTTTTAAGGCGAGGTATGACAGAGCTCATGGGGCAGGGAAAGAGAGGACCTAGTAGCAATCAGCGAAGAGGCGGGGCCAGGAGCTGTGACTCGACCCCTGCAACCACAAATAGGTGAGTACAAATAGGTGAGTACACACACACAACTACCCCCTTTAGCAGCCTAAATAAACAGAAACTCACCGTAACAGTCTAAACGGAAACCACTCCTCTAACACCATGGAACAAAATCTCCCAGAAGTGCTCCCAGTGTTGCAAAATGCGACATTTATCGGAGAAGATATCTCCAGAGAACACTTACTAATCCCTCTTCTAGCACCTAACCTGTCCAGTTTTACTACACTGTTAGAATTCTACTCTCGTTATCTGGTACAGTATGTGGCGTCTCAGTAACACTTTCGGGATGCAACTGGATAATTACATGACAAATAAAAACTGAAATCTTTAATATGAAAAAGGTTTCTAGATTGAAATATTTGCGGTAAATGTAAACTGAATAATTAAGGATATAGTCTCTTACATAATTATTATACATTTGTATTACGCATATACTTATTTTCGTACATAAAATGCATATAATACGATGCTGTACACTATCGTGCTTTAAAGAATATGTACCATTAGGTACGTTACTGTAAATGTACTTTAAAGTACAAAAGTAATGTACGTGTTTAAGTTTAAATGTGTGCTCAATATGTGCTTTGTTAACCCTTAGAATGTGACTGAGAAAACAAGGCCCTAAATAAGCTAATTTCTGAACAAAAAGAGGAAAAAAAGGGCGACCATTTCGCCAAACAGCAACAATATTCGACGCAGCATTTAGCAGCACAGCGTCAGGCAAGGAACCAGGAAACCAAAAAGTGACCATAACTGTGGACCATCGCCAAGTTCCAGAAAAAGCAAAACTCTTCCTTATTACCAAAAGAGATTCCAGCAATTTCCATACCCGATTACAGCAATGCATAGATGCCAGAACAAATTAGTCAAGAGTTTAACTCGATACCAGAGGTACAGTGTGTGTCTCACAACTCAGCCTCTGAAAATGTCAAATATTACAAACTAAAATAAGCTGTGTAAACAGTGACACGGGTCACAAGATGTGTCCTGGCTCACCAACGGAGACATACACTACTTAAACACTGGATAACATGCACTGAGAACAGCATTCTCCCAGAAAGAGAAAAGAGTAGATATTTCCTTTACGAAGAGTTGTGTGTGTGTGTGTGTGTGTGTGTGTGTGTGTGTGTGTGTGTGTGTGTGTGTGTACTCACCTAGTTCTACTGGCCTGTTTGTGGTTGCAACTGTCGAGACTCTGCTCCTGGCCCCGCCTATTCACTGATCGTTACTAGGTCCTCTCTCTGTTCCATGAGCATTATCAAACCTCGTCTTAAAACGATGTATGGCTCCTGTCTCCACTAAGTCATTTTAAAGAAATTTCACTTCCTGACAATTCTATGACTAGAGAAATACTTCCTAATATCCCTGTGATTCATTTGAGTCTTCAACTTCTAACTGCGACCCCTTGTTTCTGTGCCCCATCTCTGGAACATCCTATCTCTGTTCATCTTGTCAATTCCTCGCAGTATTTTGTATATCGTTATCATGTCTCCCCTAACCCACCTGTCCTCCAGTGTCGTCAGGCCTATTCCCTTAACCTCTTCTGGTAGGACATCCCCCTTAGCACCGGCACTAGTCTTGTTGCAAACCTTTGCAATTTTTCTAATTTCTTGACGTACTTGACAGGGTGTGGGTTCCAAAATGGTGCTGTATACTCCAGTATGGGCCTGACGTATACGGTGTACAGAGTCTTGAATGATTCCTTATTGAACTATCGGAACGCAATTCTGAGGTTTGCCAGGCGCCCATATGCTACAGCAGTTACCTGGTTGATGTGCGCCTCAGGAGATGTGCTCGGTATTATACTCATCCCAAGTTCCTTCTCCCTGAGTAAGGTTTGCAGTCTTTGGTCACCTAGCCTATATTCTGTCAGCAGTCTTCTTTGCCCTTCGCCGATCTTCATTACTTTGCATTTGGCAGGATTAAATTCG